CAGAGTGTAGACTCTGCAGAAGTGTTTGCCTGCCCTAATTTTCTTTTGCTTTCTCCTTCACAGGGTAGCCCCAGCTACTCTGAAATGAAGAGCAGGTGCCTGTACCTCCACAAAAAGCTGGCCCATATTCAGAGCCGCATTTCTGAATATGACCAGCAGTGAGTGGAGTCCTGGCACCAGACATCTGCTTCAGCCTCGTGACATCTGCGGACCCTGGATTTTTTATTTCAACTAGAAGATTAGGTTTTTAGGAATATTTAAGTTAGTATTGAACAGTAGGTTATGTTAGCACTGAGCCGTAGATTATTTCTTAAAAGTGTAGGATTAGTTCAAAGAAGTTTGGTAAGTTTTAAAAGTTGAAAGATGATAGTTTTTAATGATAGAACATTAACAATAAAGAAATCACACTATTTGTAATTCTTTCTCTCATTGTTGCTTGTATCACTTTTGGAGTGGATTTCTTCTGGTCATTTCTGTTCTTCAAGTCTTAAGTTTGTCCACTGAAATAAATTTATCAGTAGAGGGTGGAAGCCCATTACATGTACTCTGAAGCTGTGCTCCTTTTAAGAATAGATTTTGGCCAATGGAAATTCTTTATAAGTTTTGTGGTGATTTTTGATCTTTCTTGTTAATGCGAAACTGGTAAAAGACATTGAAGTTTGGACAACCCTGTCCGCAAATCACTTTGGTTTGCAGAGTTACAGAGGAGGGCACATGGGCTGCTCTCATCTGTCATCTGAAGCAGCTCTCAGAACAGATTTTAAATAATGGCCTCCCTTTGTCAGTGAGCCAAGCAATATCCAGATCTCTGCAAGAGTTTTGTAAAACACATGGAATAGTGTTGGAGGGAGGTATTTCAATGGGTTTTAAAGAGAAATTGGGTTCAAGTGTCCCTATGGAAATGCTGTCCATTTCTTTGCATATTTAAACCAGTCTGTCTCAACCAGCCTTTCTAAAGAGACACAGATGTTGATTCCTGCACAGATCTCTGGGAACTTGGAATAAAGTCCTTTTCCTAAGTTTTCTGCCATTTGTTTATTTAGCTGAAATGGTAGATCTGTTACCAGAAAAGACTTAACCTTCCTTTGGGGAAGAATATGAAATTGTCTGAGGCAGGAAAATGTTTGGGAACAATCACCGGGGCCTTTGAATGCCCCTTTCTTCCTTAGAGAGGATTCTACAAATTCTCAATTGTCTCCATGCAATGATGTTAATTCCCTACGTGAGAGATTTTCGAGTGTTTTCTGATTGAACACCTGAGCCATTGTTGCC